GAGGGCTGGGAATTGGCTCATTTGGCGTTTTCCAGCATTCTTGCCAGCGCAGAGCGTCTCCCCGGAGCGGAGCTTGGCTGTGTTTCCGTGGGAGTGTGAGGGGCTCGGGGGGCCGTAGCCCCTTCCCGTCCCACCCCATGCCAACCGCCGGCACCGCCAGGGTGAGGGCAACAGCCGCCAATGCCGGGGTCCCTGCCGCCAGCCACATGGGCAGCCCCCACCTCGCCCCATGGCAGCACCGGGGACCCGGCACGGGCAGGAATCAGCAGGGTGGGAAGAAACCCAAGGGGACACTGCCCCCAGCATCCCTCTGCTCAGCTCCCCAGCGGGCTGGGGACCACCGGCGGCCAGGACGGGGCAGAGCGAGGGATGGCCAGGGGTGGCTACGGTGTCCCAGGGGTGGCCACAGTGTCCCAGGGTCAGCCACAGTGTCCCAGAGGTGGCTGTGCTCTCCCAGAGACAGCCTTGGTGGCCCAGGGGTGACCATGGTGCTGGCCATGGTGTCTCAGGGGTGGCTCTAGTGTCCCAGAGATGGCTATGATGTCCCAGGGATGGCTGCAGTGTCCTGGGAGTGACCGTGGTGTCCCAGGGATGGCCAGGGTGTCCCAGGGATGGCTGTGGTGTCCCAGGGGTGGCCATGGTACCCAAAGCCAGCCAGATTTCCAAGGGATGGATACGGCCTCTCAGGGGTGTCTGTGTTGTTTCAACAGCAGCCACAATGCCTGAGGGATGGCTGCGATGTCCCGGGGTGGCCATTGGACGTGGGGACACGGGACGGGGAGGAATGGGAAAGCTGAGGCTGCAGGAACCAGGACTGCCCCCAGCCCCACTGCAGCGGCAGCAGCGTTTTGGGGCTGACCCAGGCCCATGGTCAGGCCTGGAATGGCATCCCCCCCCCCCCTCCCCCATGGCACCTGGACTGTGTCCCCTGTCCTGGCCAGCCCAGTGTCACCCCGGGGATGCTCGGCCCCACCCCAGCCACGGCACTGACGCTGGTGCGGTACCCGCAGCGAACGAGGGCGGGGGCAGCATCCCTGGGGGCCACAGAGACCCTCAGACCCTGGGGTCTGGGTGGGAGCGGAGCGGTGCCCCCTCAGCCCGCACAGGGACCTGCTGTGGGGGCCAGCGTGGCCGTGAGTCACTGCACGGCTCCCTTGCCCCGGGACTCATCCTGCACCCCACCCTGTGTCTCAGGACCCAGCAATGCACCCTCGTGGGCACTCAGCCACCCACACACCGTCCTGCGTGGGATGCCACCAGCCACGCCACCGGGACCCCTACCCGGCCAGGGCTGCCCCAGGGTACCCCAACCCACACCCCCTCCTCACACATGGGTGGGATAAAGCCGGTGCCGGGGGTCCCCTGGGGCCCACGGGGTGGCCCCCGTACGCACTCTGTCCCCCCGTGGAGCAAAGGGTGGGGGTGGCGGGGGGCTCAGGGCTCTGCCCTGGCTGCTTTGGGGGCTGCTGTGGGATAGGTGGCCCCGTCCCCTGGGGGGTGGCCCAGGAGGGGCACGGGGAGGGTCCGCCGGCCCCCGGCCCCACCACCCTGGGACAGCCCTGGGTTGCCCTAAAGGTCATCCCCGAGGCCAGGCCAGAGGCCACCGGCCACCAGCAGCACGCCCCGGTCCGGTGCTGACACCTGCGGGCGAGGGACCGTGCCTACATGGCACCCTGCCCTACACGGCACCCTGCCCTCCGTGGCACCGTGTCCCTCCACGTCATTCTGCTCCTGCGTGACATCCCCATGTCACTGTGTCCTACAGGTCACCCCACCCTGACATGTCACCCTGTCCCTCTATGTCACTTTGCCCTTATGTCATGCCCTGCCCAAATATCCCCCCCTTCCTGCGCGTCACCCCAGCCGCCACCGCAGCCCGGTCCTGCGGGGGATTTGGGGCAGGGGCACCGCGGCTGGGGGCTACGACGCCCTTGAACCCCTCCGCCCCGGGGACGCCGGGCCAGTGCCCCGGGCAGAGCTGGGCAGCACCAGGGCCCCTGCCCCGTGGCGCAGGGATCTGGGAGGGAGCCGGGACGTGGGGGCTGCAGCAGGGAGGGGACGGCCAGGCCCTGGTGCAGACCCCCGTCCTGCCCTGCGTCGCCCCCGGGGGCTGCGGCAGTGCCCTGGGGCAGTGCCGGGCGC